ACCACTATATTCATTTCTTACATTAATATTAAATAATAATACTAATAAAATAATATAAACCTAACATCTCTTCTTTACTTATCTATTTTTATAATACATTGCTTTCATATTTCTCTAACTATTGATAAAATAACTCCCATATATTATAATAATCTGATTTTTCCTTTTCTGGAATTGCAAGTGTTACTCTGTTCATTTCTGCACATTCTAATATTTTCTTAAATCACTTTTTCATCTGTAGGTATCTCTTTGCTTTTCCAATTTTGTGCAAATACAATTCTAGCTGCGGTTATTACATGAATAATCAAATATATGGTTTCTTTACTATAAATACCCGGTAAAATCCCCAACAGGAACAATTCCAGTGTTAAATCAATATGTTGTTGCGTTCACCTTCTCCAGCCACATACAAATTTTTGCCCAGTATCTTTTTGCTTCCCCACATGTCCACCACATATGATAATACGATCCCGGTGTCTGTTGGCATTTCCAGCATTTAATTGATTTATCTTTAAACATTTTGGCCAGTCTTTCTGGTGCTAAGTGCCATCTGTAAAACATCTTATATAAGTTTTCCTTGACAATGTTAATTTGTAATTCCTATTCCATAGTTGCTGCCATTTATCTAGCTCTACCGTGTGACCAAAGTTTTTTGCCCATACTATCATTGTTTCTTTAACTTGTTCTTCTTCTGATTTAACACTCAATAAGTAACTGTACAACTTTTTATCATTCTCTCTTCTATTCCTGTCAATATCCAATTCTGTCAGTTCCATATAAAAACCATAAAGTTTAGCATCCTTTTCATATCTAGATTGTATTTGCAGCTGTGTGTACCAATCCATATCAATCCTCTGCTTTTCCAATTCACATTTAATTTTAAGTTCCCCCTTTTCTGACAAAATAACTTTGTATCTAACAATATTTCCCATATTAATAATATTTGGATGTATAAGTGCTTCCATCATCGAAAGCAAGACTGGTATCTTCAAGTAGTGTTGTTCTCTAATTTTTTCCCATACTAATAACAAAGCATTTTTTATATAATGTCTTTGGAAGTAACCATGTATCTTATTTTTCCCATACCATAAAAAAGCATGCCAACCTAATTGCAGGTCATGTCCCTCCAATGTCAATAACCTTGTGTTTCTCAATACAATTCATTCCTTCATTCAAGTTACCAGGCAGCAGCGTTAACTTGGATGAAAGCGAAACAAAAAAATTTTAAACATGCAAATAAACCAGGGAGATGGCTGGCACACAAATTAAAAAAAAGAGAAAGAGAAGAAATTAATACAGTAACTGCAAGATGAGAAAGAGAACCTGCAGCATCGGATGGAAGATAAAAAAAATATAATTCAAAAATTCTTTAAAGACTTGCATAGGCAAGAAGACATACCGGAAGAGATTATCAAACAATATTTAATAGACAGGGGCGTAACCACAATATCGGCTACAAAGAGATTGCAGAGATCACCTTTTCTTTTTATGTAGTGTTGTTTATATTGATATATATGTGTTTTGTGTATACATAGTGTAGTATTTTGCTTTTATATGTTTAATAAAGTTTTTTTTTAATTAAAAAAAAACTATACAAGAACCATTCGAGACATTAATACTGGAACTATTCAACGAAGTATTAGCAGAAGCTAAATTACCAAAATCATGGACAGAGGTATATATATTGTATTAATATCTAAAGAAGATATAGATCACCAGCAGCTTAAAAATTATAGGCCTATCTCATTATTAAATGCCAATTATAAAATATTTACTGCGATAATTGCAGAAAGAGCAAAAAGACTATTAAACGAACTTATCCATCTGGACCAAAATGGGTTCCTGCCAAAAAGAGAGTTGAGAAATAATACTAGAATGATCATGAATGTCCTTGAATTTTACAAAGCCCACCCTGAAAAGCAAGCAGCATTGATATTTCTAGATGCACAAAAAGCATTTGACAATCTATGCTAGCAGAGAATAAAAAGATTGGGAGGCGTGGCCAGCGTCACGGCAGTACAATGGACTCTTTGGTGGCTCCCAAAGAGTCGTCGATATCTCCGCTCTCCGAGGGTCCTCTGTGACCTAAATCGCCCTGTAGGGATGACCAACGAGAGGAGCATTGCAAACTCCCTGGAAAGACCGGAAGAAGCTCCTCAAATTGGACAGCGAGAGAAAGCGACCTAGAAGTCACTGAAAAGCTGGGGCAGCCGCAACAAAAGTAAAAGTAAAAAACCAGCCTTTGACATCAAGGTGAGGTCAATTTAATTTTATTGTCTAGAAAGTTTCTCTTTAATATACCTGGACAATCAATAAGAGTGGCTGAGAGTGAGGAGTGGGTGCGGGTGTGTACTCCCACTCACATCCAGAAAATTGGGGCGGCAAGGAATGCACAACTGAGAGCCTATTAAATTTTTATTAATTTTTTATTGAAGAAAAAGAAAAGACTATTTGGGGACTGTAAAAACAATTGGACACTAAGGTTTTGAATGACTGAATGGAATATACATTTTTTTTAAATGGATTGTTACAATGCTGATTGCTTAAATAATACTTTGTTTAAAGAAGTGAAAGTTCTGAAAGTATTGAGCTGAGATGAAAAGTTAACCTGCAGTGCCATCTAATGGCAGAAGAAAAAGCAAAAGACCATCTATGCTGGCAGGTTATTATTCAACAATTAAAGATTATAAATTTTGGGAGAAATTTGTGGGGATGATAAGTGTAATATACTCTAGTCCAGGGGTCTGCAACCTTAAACACTCAAAGAGCCATTTGGATCCATTTCCCACAGAAAAGAAAACACCAGGAGCCACAAAACCCTTCCCTTGCCTGACTATTTCTTGAGCGGCCACAAAACATATATAGCTGAATTAAATGTTCTGTTTTCTTCTGAAACTTTTATTTTGTTGAATTTATTCATGGTTGGCCTACCAGGGGTTGAAAAGCTCAATCAATCACATGCCAGCGCGTGTCACACATTGGTGGTTGTGACGCATATTTTGACAGGGAGCTGCAACAGAGAGGTGAAAGAGCCACATGTGGCTCCAGAGCCGCAGGTTGCTGACCCCCTGCTCTAGTCAAACAGCAAAAGTGATAATAAATGGGCAAATAACAGAATAATTTAGTATAGCCAAAGGTGTAAGACAGGGATGCCCCTTATCACCTCTATTATTTATTTTATCTTTATAAGTATTATTAGATTATATCAGACAAGAACAAGAAATAAAAGGTCTACAAATAAAAAAAGAATACAAAGTACAAGCCTTTGCAGATGACCTAGTGTTTATTTTAGAGGAGCCACTAGAAACAGGAACTAAATTAATACAGAAAATAGAAGAATTTGGTAAGGTGGTGGGGCTTAAAATAAATAAATAAAAGACAAAAATAATAACCAAAAATCTTACCAACAGCCAGAAAAAAGAACTAGAGAGGAAACTGGAAATACAGATAACTAAGAAAGTCAAATATCTGGGAATTTGGTTGACAGCAAAATGCTCATCAATTAAAGAGGATAATTATAAGTTACTCCAGCAAATAAAAAAGGACTTGGGCAATAAGAAAAAATTAAAATTATCACTAATCGAAAAAAAAGCCACAATTAAAATGAATATACTACCAAAAATTCTATTTTTATTCCAAACCATATCAATAAAATTAGGGAAGAAGTTTTTTGAAGAGTTAAACAACATAACAAAACTCAGTATATCATATCACACATAATAATAGCAGCTAGAATCATCTATGCACAATACTGGAAAAACTATAATACTTCCTCTGATGAAATGGTGATAAAAAAAAGTGTTAAAATGTGCGGAGATGGACGGTTCTAACAATGGAAATAAAAGAAAGGTGAAACGGAATAAAATCTGATTTGGGACACATGGTATAACTGGCTGGAGAATAGAAGCAAAGAATAAGAACGTAGAAATAAATTAAGATGTGATAATAAACGGTAATATATATAGGTATATAATTGCAATATTGATGCATTGTATAGAATAGATATGTACACAAAAGGAAACAAAAAATAACAAAAATAATTTGTATGTACTTAGGAGATATACTGATACCAGAGCGCTGTAAAGATCTAAATTGTGATATAAAATGAAGAAAACTGTTTAATAAAAACTATTTTTTTAAAAAAAAAAAAGGAGTAAATAGTAGTTATTTAGAAAATGGGGAAAAAATTCAGGGATAAAGGAGGAGCTACTTAAAGTGTGCAACTGAGGAAAAGGGAAGGAAAAGTGAGACAAATAGGGATGTAGAATTTTAATTTTAGAATGAGGACACGTGGCTTATGTTGTTGCAGTTTTTGTAATGCATTATTTTCCTGCCTTAAGCCACTCCAAACTACCCAGATCCCTTTTAGCTGATAACATAATACAACCCAAATAAAGAAATACCCACGCTGGGTTGTTTTTGGAACAAATCTCACGTTGGCAGGTTTTGAACACATCTAGCCAACACCATTTTTAAAAAATGATTATTTCAACGCTTAGTTAGAACAGAAGCTGCGTTGCTATTACTGTAGAGTAGGGGTGGGCAAATGTGGCCCTTTTACAACCTGTGGACTTCAACTCCCAGAATTCCTGAGACAGCCTAGCTGTCTCAGGAATTCTGGGAGTTGAAGTCCACAGGTTGTAAAAGGGCCACATTTGCCCACCCGTGCAGTAGAGAAAGCTGGATTCGACGGCCTTTGGGAGCGATGCTAAAGCGGGGCAGGCGAATTACGAACCAGCCTCCCGCATTTTAAGCCTAGCTAGCGTGTTAAATCAGCCCAGACTTTACGGTTGGTTCCAGGTGTATCTCAAACGCAGAAAATAGGCTAAATAAATCCTAGGCAACCTAAATCTGGGCCAGGCGTGGTGCAAAGGCAGCATTGGAAAACCTGGCGCCTTTCGGACGTCTCAAATGACCGAGGACAGGGACCAGCCCTCCTATCTAAACCGGAGCTCGCCCCCAAATAACGACCCACTGAAGAGCCACTTTCCTCTACTCACCACTGTATCCGGGGCGCCGACCGTTTGCGGAAAGCCCGGTTCAGTTTTTTGCGGTCGACGTTGTAATTATACTTCTTCCGACGCTGCTTCTGCTTGGCTTTCGGCATCGCGGCGGGCTTCTCGAGACCGAACTTGGAAAAAGGAGCACGCGCTTCCCCACTACCAGCCCTACGGTCGCAGGAAAAGCATCCGTCGGGCCGATGGTCGCAATGGAGGATGGGAGCGGTAGTTCTGCCTGTCCAATCAGAGTAGCCTAGATGCGGTTAAATTGAACTACAGTTCCCAGAGTGCCGAGTGTGTGTGTGTGGGGTGTATGTGTGTATGTGTAAATCATTTCCCAGATTCATGTGAAAAGCGCTATTGGCTGAAGACGCGGCGGTCAACAGCGACAGCGGAAGAGTCGAACCTCGTTAAAGCGAATCGAGAGGTGACCTTCGCGCGTCGGAATCTGGCGAGATCTGCCATGGCTCAGAGTCCGCCGCCGCCATTTGATCCCTACCGACCCCCGGTTATTGAAGGCTTTACTCCGACTTTTCGGGGAGTGCCGAACCCTTCCAAAGCAAGTTCGTGCGCAAGTTCCGCGAGAATCCATTTGTGCCCCTCGGTGAGCCGGGCGAATATTCCTTCCTCTGTAGATAGATAGATTCCTCTCTAAATAGCAAGCGAGTTGGTCGGGGGATCGAAGAGGAGAGCGCGACTTTTGGGGAAAGCAGTGCGGTTATTATTTCAATATTGCATTATTTCTTTAAAATCTGTTCATTCTGCCTGTCCATTCCCGCCTTCTAAGGCAGTGTTGAATAATGGGGGGGGGGAGATTGCCGTGAAATAAACAGCCGGAAAAACAACCTAGTAAATCAAATATACCTAAAATGCGAAAAACAGTAAAAAGGATTTTATACTGAAGCCCATCCTAAGAATGAACAAAAAATATTATTTCGGACAATAGCTCAAGCCATCAGAAATGCCTTTTTGCTGGTCTCAATCAAACGGTCCTAAGAGCTCCTGAGAAAACAAATCCTCCTTAATTTTTTCTCATTTAATTTAGCTCAATGCTTTACAGACTTGGCATCCCTAAGATGTGTGGAATTCTACTCCCAGAATTCCCCAACTAGTTCCCATTCCTAAGAGGTCTGTAAGGGGTGTGCATAAGTGCACCAGCGTGCCTACCGTCCCTGCCCTAATATTCTTACTTCACTTACTCCTTTCACGTATTCAAATTATGTTTATACTTTTACCTGTTATCTTATATATGCTTGACAAATAAACTTCTTATGACTTATGAAGTCCACACATCTTCAAGTTGCCAAATTTGATTGATTTTGTTGTATCAAACAGCATAGATCTTATTGAGAAAGGGAAAGTGCAAGCATGGCTTAATAACCACCAGTCCTTGAGATTTGAGACTGATCAGGAAAATACTAATATTAAATTACAAAAAAATCAAATCAGTCTTTGTCCGTAGCAGAAACATGAGCCATAAAAGTGGTACAAATTAAGTTTTTCCTGATGTGAGGGAATGGAAAAGAATGCCCTATCTAAATACTTGTGTTTAGATCTTTTGTTATCCTTTTTAATACGTGAGAACCAAAGGTTAATGAACCAAAGTTTCTTGACAGAACTGGGAGCTCTCAAATGAAAAGATGGGATGGTATATTCAGGAGATAGCCCAAGCCTTTATAGCAAAATTTCTTCCTTTTGTTTTCTTTTCTTCCCTCTCCTCCAGGCTGCCTTGGTACAGCTGGAATTTTGACTTATGGACTCATCTGCTTCATAAATAATAAACCCAAGCAATCCCAGATGATGATGAGGGCCCGTGTTATAGCCCAGGGCTTAACTGTTGCATCCCTATTAGTGGGCATGGCTGTTACAAACCTGAAGACATCCAAGTGAACAAGCTGCTACTGTACAATAATATGAAAATATTGTCCACTAACCGGGTAAGAACAAGCCTGCCTGCCTGCCAACACACCACATTTTGCAGAATGATATTTCAATGCTACTTAGAAAGTGACTTTCCTGATACCAAGGAGACCCAGTTTTGTTTAATAACATTATTAATGTATCCCATGAATTCAAATTTGCCACTGATGTATAACATTGTGTATCATAGCCATGTTTTAACCCTGTCTTTCTGATAAAGCCAGTAAGATTACCTGATGCAAATGAAGCAGATTGGACGGAGGGCCTTTATTGTCTATTAGGCAGTTATATGGTTAAAAGTGCATCAAAAATAACACGTTTATTATGGCGATTGGGTGTGATGAACTACATTATGTTAGTGTTAAAGAATCAAAGTTTTTATTCTTGATGTTATTTTTTCTGAAATTTTGTCACTGTCAAGGATGGACAGAAATCAAGAGGAATCTAACTGATGTATTAAAAACCATTGTGTTAAGACCTACTGAGTTAGTCTGAAACAATTGTTACTTGATAAGGTACTTGTAATCTGCCTCACATACAACTTCTGTAAAACTGCAGATAACTAGAGTAAGACCTTTGGTTGAAGAGGGGCGCCATTGAGCAGTGAGTTTGTTGATGTAACAGCCTTCATGCTGCATAGTGATATCCCTGCCTGAGTTACTGGATTCCTTTGGTGGATTGGGGTGGAGTCGCCAAGGCTTCAACCTTCCCCCAGGTGGCATTAAATCATGGGAATCTTAGAATTCATGGCAATTGTCAAGCTGACTTTCTCATCAAGATCCTGATGCAAAGATCAGAGGTCTTTACTTTTTGTTTCAGGGAACTTACTACCTGAACTGAGAGTTGTGGACATTACCGTCAGTCTATTACTGGGGACATATGCTCTGATTGCTTTACATTTTGCACACCTTGCAAAATGGGAAGTGGAATCTGTTAGACTAGACCAGGCCTGTCAAACTCCTGGCCCATGGGCTGGATGGGTCATATGCTGGCCATGCCCACACCTGGTTTAGCGAAGTGGGGGGAAGTCCTGATTCGTCACATGATGACGACGTGATGACATGAGTTTGACACCCCTGGACCAGACCATCCAAGGCAACCAATAAACCCTGACAAGTTGTAGAGGGAGGTTGGTTTTTTTTTCTTTATTTCTAAGTATTTGATGAATAATTTGGCTGAGAATTTGATGGCTGGCTGAAATGGACATGTAGCAAAGGCCCTCAAACAGATTACATCAGTGCATCCTTTCGCTGAGCATGAATCCTGAGGTGTGCTTTGATTTTCCAGGGCACTTAGGAGATGAAATGCCAGAAGAGCCACCTAGAGCACTATTGGAGGAAGATGAAGAGTGAATTCAACCAACACAAGTTAGAGCACTCTTCCTCTCCTTTTTAACATCTGCTTGAGAACATTGGGTGAGAATTGGTTTGGGGTCAGATACCATCGGTTTGGTGATAATACTGAGTTGTTTATCTCAACCCAAGGTTGGCAGAGATCAAAATCTTGTACCTCTATTTGGAGGCTATCAAGCTGTGTATGTGTGGAGGAAGAGACTCATTCAACTGTAACAAGCCACGTGGCTGTGGGTGTTGGAACTGGGTATATGTTCCATCTTTAGGCCCAAATGGGAATCCATTTCCTCCTGTTGCACAATTTGGGGATCTCCTTGGACTCACAGCTCCAGCTGAAGCAGGTGGCAGCTATGGCCAAGAAGGCCTTTGCAGAAATCCATATAGATTGCACCATTTTCTGGACCTAGAGGCCTTTCTAACAAGCACTCATGCTTTATTCACTTATGGATTATCGCATTATGCACTACATGTGGCTGCCCTTGAAGACCATCAAAAGATTCAACTGATCCAGAATATAGCAGCAACTTAAGCAATTATGGGCATGCCCATGCAACACTCCTGCTTTGTGAGTTGTACTGTTTACTGGGAGGCTTCCAAGTAAATTCACTGTGCTGGTTATTACATAAACGCATCTCATGATATAGAGACTTTTCCGTAGCTTCTGCCCATACTTTGTGATTAAACAGATTTGTCATATTCTTAGCCATTAAACAGTATCATTAGACGGCCTTCTTGGTCACAATACCTGCCCTCTGGAACAATATCCTATTTGTCCGCATGAAGACCTTGTTGAAAAAATGCTTTTAAAAGCTGGCTTTTCACCTAGGTCTTGGGCTGGATTGATTCAGGCCTTTGAGTGTCACACGGGTCCTTGAGAATTTTTGGGGGGGTTTCTGTATGTCTCTCTCTATATATATATTGGTATTCTTTAATTATTTTACTATTGTATGTTGCCCAGAATCACAACAGCCTTATATATTAGTAAGTAAACTGGCCTATTGTCCCCTCCCTCCACCCAATTTCATTCCAATTTAAATCTTGTATTTGAGTAGCCATTCCAGGCATATGAAGAACGGAGTTGTATTTCATAAAAGTTTATCTTTTAATAAAATTTGCTAGTCTGAAAAGGTGCTACCAGATTCCTGTTTTTTGGCTATCTTGCAGCTCTCTTACAATGTCAAGGGTAGGATAAATTGCATCTCTTTTCCAGTCGGTTCATTTTTGAACTTGCTAGATTGCAACAGAATTGTTAACTTGGTCTTGCTAACTAATGGCGTCTTCCACGTGTCGTAGCTTTTCTAACAATTTATACCACTTTTTAAAAAGTTTCTAGCAATTCTTTATGCATTCAAACTGCTAGATTACAAAGGAGCGCTAGGGGAAAATTATCATTCAACAATATGTATATATTTTCAGATATAATTTTATGCTAATATACCGGAATGTAAATTACATTTCGTAGGATTTTTAAATATCTTTACGGATACTAAATCTTTAAATATCTTTACATTTTAAATAGGATTAAACCTGCTTAAAGTTTGGTCATGCCTATTGTGTTTGACAAAGTAGATGTTAAAATGTATTTTGATAGCCAGAAATCCTAAAGTAGAAAAGAATTTAGATTTGCAAGAGAAAACCTGTGACTAGCAAAAGGAAGTAAGTGGAATGGATAAGCATGAATTGTAAAAAGATAAGATAGTAATAAAGAATAAAAAGGTTTCAGTAGAGGAGAATATACTGTATGTAGCTCAGGGTTGAACTATGGAGTCCTTGGTGCGCTCTAAAATGTTTGCAGACATTTCATTACCTGAATGTTATCAGGTAACATGATAACAATGTACCAAAGACTCCACAATGGGGTAAAGTCATAATCTCCTACTAATAGTCTCCCCAAAGGGCTTTTAGGTTCAAATTAATGTAACTAAAGCAAGCGACTCAAGGGAGTGGTAATTCAGTTAAACTAGTATTATAAGCATAGCTTTGTGTCCAGGATAAGTCTAATCTCAGCCAACGCTCTTGGATGAGCTTGCATATATTTCAGTGTCTTTTCTTTAAAAATTAATGACAAATAGATGTAATGCCAAAAGTTTAGAGAACAGCAAAACTCCAAAAAGTTGACCATGTTAATGACCAATCATTTCGTCTTGGTATCCATACTGGGAAAATAATTTGGGAACATTTAAAAAATAATGCACTGGCCCCCTGCAGGAGTCAGCAAGTATAGTTAACCCAAAGCAATTTGATGTGCTTTAACAGGAATGACCAGCTTAGTTGTCCATTGCACTATAGTCATAGTGTACATTGACTTTAGCAAAAAGTTCCGGAGATTCTGAGAGAGATGATGATGAAATACAGGCTAAAAAGAGAATTGAACAAGTTTTGTATCAATCTAGAACAGGAGTATCAAACTCGCAGCCCTAATGCATCACGCGCTGGCCACACCCATGCCTGGTTTAGCGAAGGGGGAAAGTCATGATATGTGACGATGCTGTGACAATGCAAGTTTGACACCCTTGATCTAGAAGGAAGAGTCAAGTGGCATGCCTCAGGGCCCTGTTCTATTCAACATATTTATAAATTGTTTGGACAGAGTTCAAATCTTCAAATTTGCAAAAAAACACAAAAAATGAGGAGGTAGCAAATATTTTAGGTAGGAACAAGTGAGACGTATTTTAATAAATGCAAAATTCTACATAGTAAGGCTTCTTCTTTGAAATCATAGGCATTCCTTTATTGTAGGAATTGAGTGTTTCAAGAAAACCTGTATTGGCTGAATTTATGTATCATGCTAAACCATGGTTTATTGACTAAATTACAATGGCTGACCTAGCAACATCAAACCTTGGGTTATTGAGTAAAACTACAGCTGAATTGCCCAATGCACTCAAGTTACTATGATTTTAAGCCTGGCTTACCCAACATTGTAAGCCAAAACCTAACAAAGTGCATTATGCTTTTTGTCACCAAAACAAATCCAGGCATTTTGTGCTAATCATCTTGCTGGCAGCCTAAGTCAGGTGAAATAATGATGTTGATGCATAATCATATTGTTGTGTGTAATTCTCAGAGAAAAAAATCCTCTTTGACTATTTCCTTGCATTGTAAATCAATTTTGGTTAACAGTTTACATCTGATAATTATTACTCAAATATGTTAAATGGAGGAGAAAAGTTTAGTCTGATTGTCCGAACAGATCACTTTTCTCTATTGTGCCTATGGATGAATTCTTACAGCCAGTTCATAAAAGCTTCTGCCACCAAAACAGCTTGAAACTACTGTATGCACTTCCCATGCGCTGGTTTAAACAATGCAGAAGTATGATAGCATGCAGAATAGAGCAGATATCCGGTATGGTTCTGAAATCAAAGCTAAAAGGAGTGGTGTTATATGAATTAAATGGCTAGATTACACTTCCAGGGAGATAACAGCACTAGAAAGATTGATTGATTGGTGTCTATAATGACTTTAAATTCTTTGGTGGTTCCTGTAGTTAGAGTTCAGTATTTTATATTGCAGGAATTTAGCTCTCATTGAGTCACACAGTATTCTACTAGCAGCATAATTGTTCACTGTGTATGAGTAGCCTATTTTGGGCAATTATTACACTAAAGTAACTTAATCTGTGCTGGACTGGATGGTGGCTTTTTATTACCTTGGAAAGCTGTGAGCACCATTGAAGCAAAGCCTTGTAATATATACATATAGTAAGATGTTAAAGCTCTTCCCATTCAACTTATTTACAGCTCAATTTATTTATTCAACTTGTTTACAGCTACAATATATGCCTATTCAGAAGTAAAGGTTATGGCTCTGTATGGGGTTGTAGTTTGAGCCATACACTAATGAACAGGCAACTGTGTAGCTTGTTATATCGAAAAAAATGATTGATGCAAATACTAAGAGAAGGAAAAGCTATGACGCTGATCTTGATTGTTTAGACATGAACCGTGAATGTTTGAAAATTTAAGCCAAATAGCTCATACCAGTGGTGGGTTTCAAATGTTTTTACTACCGGTTCTGTGGGCGTGGCTGGTGGGCATGGCAGGGGAAGGATACTGTAAAATCTCCATTCCCTCCCCAACCCAGGGGAAGGTTACTGCAAAATCCCCATTTCCTCCCGATCAGCTGGATTTCTACCAGTTCTCCAGAACCGGTCAGAACCTGCTGAATACCACCTCTGGCTCATACCCTAGCTAGGAGGTACTGGGTTCCTTACTTCCTTTCTGGCAATATTTGCATGATAATGACACTCTTTTGCAGAAGCTGTTCTGCATCTTGGCTTTCTTATTAGCACCTTAGTATTATTATGCAGGAAATTGTGCTAGTAACTATAAGGCAGAAGTAACTTATAGGATTTGAAGCACAGCAGCCATTCTTTTAAAGTCTTATCACAATGCCTGTGTTTTAAGGATTTATTTAAATGCTGCATGTGGCAGTATTTAGCCAAACTTGGCTGACTTCAGAAACCTAAGCAACTAACCTGGATTGTACTTGGATGCACAAATCATCCCAATCTAGACTAGGAAATTGAAAGGTATCCCAGAAATAAGGCAACAGCAAAAATTTTGTACTACTGCCAAGAAAATTATATAGGCATATCTGCATAGTGCATAAGAAGTCAAAAGGCTCTTTTTATATGCGCAGAACTCTTACCCCAAGACTGCCCAACTATATATATAAATTATGCACGTGAAAACTTTTTAACTATTTGAGGAATAGCTATTAAATCTATTAAAATATAAAATTTACATAAATTTGCATCATTTGTGTAATTTTACATAATTATGGAAGAAATTCTAAAATATCCTGATTTTTTAATTCTGGCTGGTGTGAGGACTGGTTTGCGGGGTTTAGGAAACTACGAGCCTTTATATGGGGAGATCTTGAGGTATCTATTTTTTTTTAATTAAGAAATTTAGTTGGGTTTGCAGGCATAACTGTCTTTAAATGTTTTGAATTGCACAACTTTTTAATCTTTGCTTCAAAATACTTTGCAGGAAACAGTATTACGACTTCTTCATACATGAATCTTGATGATGGTCTTATGTAACAAATTTTGAAAAATGCATTTTGATGTCTATTACTTTAATTACTTTTTCAGTTTAAGAAATGTAAAAGCAAGCATTCTGTGATTTTACTCTGATTCTAGAAGCAGTTGGTTTAGAAATCTCACAGAACATTGGGAGATGAGTTTTAATTTTTGTTAAGCTGAAATGGCCAGCAAGACTGTGATTGCTACTAGGAGCACTTGGCCATTTTCTTGGGCTATAAATTTCTCAGTAGTCAATGATGGGGCAAGACATTATCCTTAGAACTGTAATTGTCCCTTCATTCCCCTTGGTAGCCGTGCCATCTTTGCCACATACACCTGAACGAGTCGTCTTTGGCTTCTGATAAAATGATATTCAGTAAACACCTCTCAAAAGAAAGCTTATGAGAATATTCCATTTTCTCCATTTTTCTTCTCTTTGCTCTTGTGTTCCAAAAGGGATGTATGTTGTAGGATTCTTATGAACTTTTCATTTCAAATGTCAATATCTTGGACCCACAGGATGCAAGCCAAGGACATGCAAGAGAAAGACTTCCCAAAGCCTTATTTAAAGGAGCAACCTCTGATGGTACTACCACCAAATGATACCCCCCCCCCAAAAAAATCCCTTTGGGGAACATTCTCAGATCTTCAAAGGATGATTTCTAGCATAGCACTTTCTGGTATAATATAACCCACCTATGAAAAATACTGAAAGTTATCAGCTTAAGAAAAAATATTAGAAAAAGATGCCTTCGCTTCAATGTGTTGCGGCTCTTGAAAATGTGTTACTATGCAAAAATCACATATTGAATTTACCCCATTAGGACATTTTACAAGTAAAGTATTTACGCAAACCTATGCTAACTTATGTAGTGAACACAACCTGTTAAATGCTGTATGTACAGCTATGTTTTCATGAATGTATTTCAGCCCAGCTACACAACAGCTAAAGTGAAGTAACGTACCCAGTCTTTTTTTTCTAAAGCCACATTTTCAAAAACTGATTTTACAGCTTTACACTGCTGAATTATTTTATAATCTGTGCATTTGCCCACATGAAAAATCTTCACTAAGGGAGCCAAGCTTCCCTTTCTA